CTACTCATCATAGTACTATCTGTACTATAGGCATAATCATTTTGTACTATGGAATTCCATTGCAGATTCAAAGTGACAATGGGTCTCATTTTTGAAACAAATTTGTTCAACTGTATGCTGTGCAGCAAAATACTCGGTGGGTTTTTTCATATACCGTACTATCCACAAGCTGCGGGATTGATCGAATGAATGAATGGGTTGTTGAAAGAACGGCTGAAGAAGTTAGGAGATGGGAATCTATCCCGATGGAAAACTCATCTCACAGATGCGCTACGTATTCTTAACGATAGGCCTGTTGGGGAACTGGAAACCCCTTTGATGCGCATGACTACACCCAATTTACAAATAAAACCTCTGACGGTAAGTGAGACTTTGACGTACTGGGAAATTGTTCCGGGTGCGATGGCCCCTTACCGGGCCACTCCAGAGGCTGCGGGGCTAGATCTCTATGCATTGGAATTGATCGGGATAAATCAAAAACAGACGAAAGTTATCAATACTGGGATAGGAATTAAAATTCCTCCGGGACGCTTTGGTTTGATAACTGCCCGTTCGAGCCTAGCCTTGAAAAGTATTCACGTCATGGAAGGAGTGATTGATGCGGATTATCAGGGAGAAATTAAACTAATTCTGTTAAACAGTGGTGAACGAGATTTGATTATTCATCCCCGTGACAGAATAGCACAACTATTTATATGGCCGGTTTTGAAATCAATTGTGAAAAAAGGGGATCCACCTCGAGTCACCGCTGTTCTTGGAGATAAAGGGTTTGCATCAACTAATTTCAATAACGGAGCTAAAGTATGGGTCCAGAGTTCGAGCGGACCTCCTGAACCAGCTGAAGTAATAGCCACAGGAAAAGACAATACTGTTTTAATCGTGAAACCTGGACAGGAAAAATGGGAATATGTTCCTGCGACTAAATGTTATCTGCGAGAATAACTAGATGTCTTAAGATTCTATCTTTTAGATCCTGCTAAGATGGATTTGCCTGTGTATCGTCATGGTCCATTTGGGAAAGGCTTTTACACCAGGATGGCCATTGAAAGGTCCACGAGAGACACCGCTTAGCTGGCAATGGAAAAATGCAACACAGACGAGACAACGGGATGATTTCCGATGCAAAGCCAATTCTGCCTGTATTATAGCCAATCTTACTTTCAGTACTCAGTATAACGAAACGTGCACATACTGCTGGCCTTCAGGACCGGCATCAAGATGGAGAGATCGTGGACGTCCTTTTGTAACCTCTCCTACATATAATTCAAACGTCACTATATCTAGTAAAGTATCTCTTAAATGTTGTAATGTATCAGGTCTGCCCGGTTCGAAAGATTATTATAAATGTGTTAATCGAACAGATGGTCATGAGGTGAATGCTGCTCATGCGATAACCCTTTCCAGTGGAAGAAATAGAAACACTAATATGCCTTAATAATTCAGTAATGAAAGATTCGGTTACACTGGGGAGACTTCTTTACTATGTTAAAATCTAAACCTCATATTTCTGTTGATCGTTTGTACCGCATTCCGTCTACTTGTGTTCAGGTACCTCAACGATATCAGAAACGTGTTATTCATTTCAATATTTCTTTCCCCCTGCTACCATCGTGTATATGGAAAAGGGCATGGTATGATACCCTGTTAGGAGGAACTGGGGCAGGAATGGGACTGTTAAATTCTATTGATATCGAAACCTTAACAAACAAAGTAAAGAATGCTGGTTATGATGTGGCGGAAGGAATTAGGTTGCAGGCTCGGTGGCTTCCAACTACCATTACCCCACAAATTGGGTCACTGAACTACGATACAGAATTTTTAAAGCTCTTCAATAGGACTCAAATTAATCAGTGGCGTGTTGACCACAACTTTAGCCAGATTATGAATTGGACAACATGTACCCTGCAGACTTTACATGTCCTTAAGCAACGAAACAAAGCTCAGAGTGACTTAATGGCTAATAATGAGCTGTTACGGACAAACATATTTAAGAAATGGATTGCTCAAACCCATTGGGTCAAATTATCTCCACAGACAGTGCAGTGCACAGATTTATTCTGTGCTGGTCAAATAGTCCACTACAATGTTAGCCAACCTGAAGTTACGTGTAAATTTCTAGTACTGCCGTAATTTTGGGGGAAAAACCACCCTTTGAACCGGAATATTGGCTGCCCCACTTGGAGGGAGATTATATAGACTCTAGGAATCGAACCCGTAGATTAGATTTGTGTACGTCCACAGCAAATGGTTTATTGTGTGGACAAAGCTCGTGGTTATATGAACCGTGTTTATTGGAACATTCAGTGAATCTGTGTAAATGGACAATTTTGCCCAAAAGCTTTGATATGTTAGTAGAAATTAGTGCTAAGCATGATACAGGGCCAAGATAGGAACAGGGGATGTAAGGGTTAACATGAGAATAGCAAGAAGGGGATGACAAAAGAAAATAGTTAAGATAATAGTTTAAGGGAAATAGTTTAGATAACAGTTAACAGTTCTGCTTAGTGAGCAGACAGTTTGTAAAACACGATGAGCTCTCTAGGCTTTATCAGTACCAAGCCGGTTGGAACTAGACCCGCGGTTTGGACAACAGCCAGTAAGAGACTGAGTCTGCGCAAAACCTGGGGTCACAGAGCGGACAGGAGGAAGAGGAGCTTGACTTCATCCCCAAAGACCCCCACAACCACCACCAGAAGACACTGCGCAGACTCAACTGGGAGGAGATTATGGAAATGCTAATTATAATACGAAGCGGGGATAGGTATTGCATATGTATAGGTGTATTGCGAAATATTATGAATATGTAATCATTTGCTCTATAAATCTAAGGTAACAGTACCTCACGTTGGGTACACAATAGGAGGAGTTATCCCCTGTGTACCTCAGCGCTGAATAAACATACCTACTTTACAATCTATCAGATTGTGGAGTCTGTTTCCGCACGTCAAGCATGTTTGTATAGTAACAAATGATAAAAATATTATAGAAATGTATAATCTAAGTACTCCATTTTCGGGATGCCTCAGAAATGTATTCTATCTCATCTGGCACGGACAGATGTATACTTTTTATTCAACGCATGAAGAACGACTAAACATGTACTGGCATCCCCAAAGCTTAGGACTTAATGGAATCAGCTTATCCCTGACTCCACAGAAAACCATCATGGAACAATCAGAACATTTGCGACGACACCTAGAACGACGAAATAAAACTCTGTCAGACTCTGTGATAGAGACTGTAATGACAAAAAATCAATTAATGTCGCTAGCTAGCCAAATGGAGAAGGAGAGTGCACACCACTGGTGGGACATCTTTACTGAATATTCATCCTCTGCAACCCAAGTGTTGAATTTCTTAATACATCCTCTTGTAATATTGTTAGTTTATCATTATTACTTTATATAATAGTTATGTATGGTATCATATCAAACAGATAGAGCGAACATATTGGGCTCTTCCAAAAGGGTCGTGATCTTCACTCATAAGTCAAAGGACCGATAGAAACAAAAAGGTGCCAAAACAATAGGCCTCAAACCAATGTTGACTTCTGAGTGAATTCCCCGACCAGCAATCAGCATCTTATCAACAGCATGAAGCAACCAGCATCTTATCAGCGTGAAAATGTAACCCTGGGAACAATCCCAGGGAACTATAAGTAAACAATAGGAAGTAACTATAAATCCCAAATGTAAAAAAAAAAAACCTCCTCAGACATGCCCGGATACTAGCCAGATCTGGACGTGCCTGAATGAGTCATATCAATCTACCAGATATCTCCTGGGCATTTTGTATAGACTTGTTTGTTAAACTGTATAAAAGCTGGACCCTCTCGCAGCAAAGACGGAGACCTCACCTACGACTGGACGCAATGCATAGGACTTCCCACTTGCCGGGAAAGGCTCTCCGATCCTTCGCTGTGACGGGGCTCCCCAGCTGATGCACGGATCTGGATTACGGTAAAGTATGAGGGCAATTGGTGATGTATCTATCTTAATCACTAGAGCTAGCTTTATGTAGTAATGACTAGATGCGTTGCCTCGCTTATTCTTTCTGCTGCTTTAAACTAAAGTAAAATAAGCCTATTTCTTTAGCTCGGTGTCTGTGTCCTTTGTGGTAACCCCGTCAATTGGCAAAACAACACTTTAGCAAACAACTCTATACAAAATGCACAGGAGATATCTGGGAGGTTGATATGCCTCACTCAGGCATGTCCAGATCTGGCCAGGATCCGGGCATGTCTGAGGAGTTACTCTTTTTCGGTACATTTGGGATTTATAGTTACTTCCTGTCGTCTACTGATTGGTTCCAGGGATCGTTCCCAGGGGTGCATTTTCACGCTGATAAGATGCTGGTTGCTTCATGCTGCTGATAAGATGCTGGTTGCTGGTCGGGGGATTCACTCACAAGTCAACCTTGGTTTGAGGGCAATTGTTTGGCTCTTTTTTGTTTCACTGCCTTAAAAACACCAGCCTGAGACAGACCTGCGCCCAAAACATAGGCGACAACAGTCACCTCGCAGACCGGCTGGGACCGGGGAGTAAAAACCCAGCCAGGGGACAGGAAAAGAAAAAAATTTTTGTCCCTGAGCTCTTTTGGGTTTTTTGGATTTTTGGTTTTGTGTGGTTTGTTTGTATTGTTTTGTTTTGGTTTTTTTAATTTCTATTTTGTCTGTCTACTGCCTCTAAACAAAGCTACACAACCTACAGCCCATAAGGAAAAAACAAAACATCAACCATTCAGGCACTGCTACACACATTTTAAACGCCACACAGCCAGCTACCACTCAAACCACCACGTGTTCTCCCCTTGGCAACCCTACCATCAAAACCGACACAAGCCATCATCCTCCGTGATCCTCAGAAACACCAGGTACGGGGGCCTCAAAAAATCATCCTGCCTGAAAAAACTCCAGCCTGAGCCTGACCTGCACCCAAATCCCGATAACGATCCTTGCATCGCACACCGGGCGGGACCAGGGAAAAACTACCCAGCCAGGAGACGGGAAAAACAGAAGTTTATTCCCCTGACAGAGGTTTTCATTAAATCCAGTCTACGTAGTCAAATTGAGCCCCGCCTACATCCTGCAAGAAAAGAGACGACAAATACACTTACACAGCTAGACACGTTCTAAACGTGACGCTATTCCACCTACCGCCAAAACCAACCCCCACTCTCCACCGGCCCATCCTTCCGCCCAACCGTCACGACGGGCAGTCACCCCCTGAGTACTGTTCCTGGGGGACTCGAGCGCCTAGCCTGAGGAAATCCCGGCCCAAACCTGACCTTCACCAAGACGCCGACTGTGACCGTCACCCTCAGAGAGCATCTGCGACTGGGTGAAAATAAACCCCACCGGGGAGACAAAGATGTCACCCGGTTGGAGGATCTGTTTTCTTATTTAAAACAAACCCATACAGTATACCCGTGAACTCTATTCCACCTAGCCCTGAGTCTACACCCCCGGGCAGAGCAGCTCCAAGCCACACAGACACACACAAAATACTACAAATGACGCGATTCAAAGATGACTAAACGCTAAGCGATAAGGACACCCGGAAGGGTATGCCGTAAGGCGAGAAGACTCGGAGGGCCATGATGGTGATGCGAGGAGGCTATACGGTAGCCTACAAGAAGCACTAAGTGGAACGGCCCCTTACGAGAAGCTACCGTCAAAACGGAGATGATGGGTATGCAAGAAGACGGGCTGCAAGGACTAAGAATGTCAGGATACGGGAAAGAAGTAGCCGGCAGGAACAACGGATGCCTAAATATCACGGCTGACGCCAGAGCCTGCGACGATGCTGCGCAAAAGACTCCCGACTGGAAACTTCCAAGACCTACCCACGCTTTAAGCTTATAACGCAAGAAAAAAAGCACCCGATCGGCAGCGTGCCGATGAAGACGGGCGTTCGATACCCTAGGGATGGCACCTGAAACACGTGCCGTGCTCCTCGAGCCCAAAGAGATGTGAGGACATAGAGATGCAAGGAAGGACAAAGACACCGTAGACAGAAGAAACAAAACTACACGATAACACACACAAAGGCTAGAACTGCCCTGCCCGGGACACGCTAACATCGAGGGGAAAAGTAATCCGTTCCTTTTACCTGACCGGAGGGCCCCGCTCCCATACAGCCTTCTCCCCTATGCTAACTTTCAAACGCTTCCCTGCAATTCCCAACCTCGTCCCCTCCTCTCGGCCCCGTTCACTCGACATAGCTTTCAGAGCGACCGACGTCCGATTCCATCCTCGACAAAAGCAGCGCGGCAGCTAACTAGCACGTTCCTGCAGTTGCCGCCTTCCTCTTCACCTGCAAGAAAAAACAAACGGGAGAAAACACAACCGGCCGTTGGCATCGCGCTGCTCCGTGCCTACCTCTTCCACAACACCCGCCTGTACTCAGAAGCGTCGTGGGGTTCCGCTCACCGGCTCTTTGCAGAGTCAGATGCTGCAGCCGTCGTCGCTGGCGTTGCCTAAGATACCGAGAGACAAAGTTACCCTTGCGCTTCTAACGAGTCACCCACGATCCTCCTTGCGACTACCCCGGCTCGCTTCAAACGCTCATCCGATCCCAAAGGCGGCTCCCAAAGCACCTGCAAAAACAAGGCAAGCGCTCAACGGAGCGGTCCTACGATACTTCCGTATTAGACACCGACCTGGCTGACAACAGCCTCACCTTCTCAGACTGTCGGTCTCCGTGCGGCTCGGCCCCTCTGCGGCCATCTGCGGCACCTGCAAAATACTAGAGGAAAAGACACGTGCCGAGTTACCGCCTGAAACTGGGGTCTGCCCGCACGGATTCCCATCTCCCGCCCCCTTACCTCGGCCCTTCACCTGCCCTGCCGCTGCTGTTTCCAGTTGTCACGTCAAGGCTCGTGTGCCACCTGTAACACACGTACCGCAAGGGAGGCTTCTACTTTCACCGACAATTTGACGCCTAAAATAAGAACTGCTACTTTAACCCCCCTAGTCGTGGCTCACCTTGCCCAAGCTGCCTCTGGTGCCAAAATCCTACTTTGCTTGTGGCTCTCCATCTAAAAAACAACAAACAAAAAAACACCACAAAACACACCACACACCGCTATCATCCCCTCAGATAGCACCGGTGCCATCTTCCCTGCCGCACCGCTCAGTGACCCACCTTCTCACAGCCCTCCGCTCACCTCCTCCGTCACTCTTTGGTGCGCATCTCCTCGATCTGCATGTCAAAACAGTCATGCGAGTCACCCGGATGCTTAACAAATCCGGAGGTGTCACTTCCGGCTGGGGATACTAGCTGGCATCCAACTACAGCCTGTTGTTAAAAAGAAAACCACGCGCCTACCCGCAGAGAGTACGCTCCCACACCTACGAGCCTTAACACCTTTGAGATTCCATCTCATTTGCTACTGCTGGACAGCCGCTCCCACACCGCTCCAACAGTCTCCATAAAACGCCCTAGAAATGACCGGCCGCACAGCCTGTGGTGGCTACTGCGAGGTGACCGTACGTCTGTCGCCTAGGCGGTCTAAGCGTATCAGCATTTAAACCGTTGACTTCTACTGCCGTTCTACTTACTCCTGACTCTACACCCCCCAGGCAGGGTAGCTCTGAGGCAAACAGGCACACGCGTACACTAGCGCTAAACGCCACAAAAGGTTTGATTCCAAGATAAACTCTAAGCGATAAGAGCTCTCAGACAAGATATCATGTCCGGCGAAAAGACCTAGAGGGCCACAACCGGGAGGCGAGGAGGCTATACGGCAGCGCCAGAAAGATTCACGCGTTATGGCCCGTTATAAGAAGCTACCGTCAAAACCGAGACGGCGGATGAGAAGTAGGAGTCCGAATCCTAGGATGGAGGGATGCAGAGGAAACGTCGCAGTCCGTGAAAACGGATGCCTAAGGAGCAGAGCTGATGCCGCAGCCGGCGACGACGCTGCGCAAAAGACTCCCGACTGCAAACTTCCAAGACCTACCCACGCTTTAAGCTGATAACGCAAGAATAAAAAAGCTCCCGATCGGCACCGTGCCGATGAAGATGGGCGTTCGATACCCTAGGGATGGCCCCCGAGACGCGTGCCGTACTCCTCGAGCCCAAAGAGACACGAGGACATTTAGAGCCGAGGAAGGGCAAAGACACGGCAGACAAAAGAAACAAACTACACGATGACACACGCAGAGGCGGGAACTGCCTTACCCGGGACACGCTAACATCGAGGGGAAAAGTAATCCGTTCCCTTTACCTGACCTCAGGGCCCCGCTCCCGTACAGCCTTCTCCCCCGTGCTAACTTTCAAACACTTCCCTGCAATTCCCAACCTCGGCCCCTCCTCTCGGCCCCGTTCGCTCGACATAGCTTTCACAGGGCCGGAGGTCCGATTCCATCCTCGACAAAAGCAGCGCGGCAGCTAACTAGCACGTTCCCGCAGTTGACGCCTTCCTCTTCACCTGCAAGGAAACACGAACGGGAGAAAACACAACCGGCCGTCGGCATCGCGCTGCTGCGTGCCTACCTCTTCCACGACACCCGCCTGTACTCAGAAGCGTCGCGGGGTTCCGCTCACCGGCTCTTTGCAGAGTCAATGCTGCAGGCGTCGTCGCTGGCGTTACCTAAGATACCGAGAGACAAAGTTACCCTTGCGCTTCTAACGAGTCACCCACGATCCTCCTTGCGACTAACCCGGCTCGCTTCAAACGCTCATCCGATCCCAAAGGCGGCTCCCAAAGCACCTGCAAAAACAAGGCGAGCGCTCAACGGAGCGGTCCTACGATACTTCCGTATTAGACACCGACCTGGCTGACAACCGCCTCACCTTCTCAGACTGTCGGTCTGCGTGTGGCTCGGCCCCTCCGCGGCACCTGCAAAAAACTCAAGGAAAAGACACGTGCCGAGTTACCGCCTGAAACTGGGGTCTGCCCGCACGGATCCCCAGCTCCCGCTCCCTTACCTCGGCCCTTCACCTGCCCTGCCGCTGCTGTTTCCAGTTGTCACGTCAAGGCTCGTGTGCCACCTGTAACACACGGACCACAAGGGATGATTCTACTTTCACCGACAATTGGATGCCTAATATAAGAACTGCTACTTTAACCCCCCTAGTCGTGGCTCACCTCGCCCAAGCTGCCTCCGGTGCCAAAATCCTACTTTGCTTGTGGCTCTCCATCTAAAAAACAACAAACAAAAAAACACCACAAAACACACCACACACCGCTATCATCCCCTCAGATAGCACCGGTGCCATCTTCCCTGCCGCACCGCTCAGTGACCCACCTTCTCACAGCCCTCCGCTCACCTCCTCCGTCACTCTTTGGTGCGCATCTCATCCATCTGCATGTCAAAACAGTCATGCGAGTCACCCGGATGCTTAACAAATCCGGAGGTGTCACTTCCGGCTGGGGATACTAGCTGGCATCCAACTACAGCCTGTTGTTAAAAAGAAAACCACGCGCCTACCCGCAGAGAGTACGCTCCCACACCTACGAGCCTTAACACCTTTGAGATTCCATCTCATTTGCTACTGCTGGACAGCCGCTCCCACACCGCTCCAACAGTCTCCATAAAACGCCCTAGAAATGACCGGCCGCACAGCCTGTGGTGGCTACTGCGAGGTGACCGTACGTCTGTCGCCTAGGCGGTCTAAGCGTATCAGCATTTAAACCGTTGACTTCTACTGCCGTTCTACTTACTCCTGACTCTACACCCCCCAGGCAGGGTAGCTCTGAGGCAAACAGGCACACGCGTACACTAGCGCTAAACGCCACAAAAGGTTTGATTCCAAGATAAACTCTAAGCGATAAGAGCTCTCAGACAAGATATCATGTCCGGCGAAAAGACCTAGAGGGCCACAACCGGGAGGCGAGGAGGCTATACGGCAGCGCCAGAAAGATTCACGCGTTATGGCCCGTTATAAGAAGCTACCGTCAAAACCGAGACGGCGGATGAGAAGTAGGAGTCCGAATCCTAGGATGGAGGGATGCAGAGGAAACGTCGCAGTCCGTGAAAACGGATGCCTAAGGAGCAGAGCTGATGCCGCAGCCGGCGACGACGCTGCGCAAAAGACTCCCGACTGCAAACTTCCAAGACCTACCCACGCTTTAAGCTGATAACGCAAGAATAAAAAAGCTCCCGATCGGCACCGTGCCGATGAAGATGGGCGTTCGATACCCTAGGGATGGCCCCCGAGACGCGTGCCGTACTCCTCGAGCCCAAAGAGACACGAGGACATTTAGAGCCGAGGAAGGGCAAAGACACGGCAGACAAAAGAAACAAACTACACGATGACACACGCAGAGGCGGGAACTGCCTTACCCGGGACACGCTAACATCGAGGGGAAAAGTAATCCGTTCCCTTTACCTGACCTCAGGGCCCCGCTCCCGTACAGCCTTCTCCCCCGTGCTAACTTTCAAACACTTCCCTGCAATTCCCAACCTCGGCCCCTCCTCTCGGCCCCGTTCGCTCGACATAGCTTTCACAGGGCCGGAGGTCCGATTCCATCCTCGACAAAAGCAGCGCGGCAGCTAACTAGCACGTTCCCGCAGTTGACGCCTTCCTCTTCACCTGCAAGGAAACACGAACGGGAGAAAACACAACCGGCCGTCGGCATCGCGCTGCTGCGTGCCTACCTCTTCCACGACACCCGCCTGTACTCAGAAGCGTCGCGGGGTTCCGCTCACCGGCTCTTTGCAGAGTCAATGCTGCAGGCGTCGTCGCTGGCGTTACCTAAGATACCGAGAGACAAAGTTACCCTTGCGCTTCTAACGAGTCACCCACGATCCTCCTTGCGACTAACCCGGCTCGCTTCAAACGCTCATCCGATCCCAAAGGCGGCTCCCAAAGCACCTGCAAAAACAAGGCGAGCGCTCAACGGAGCGGTCCTACGATACTTCCGTATTAGACACCGACCTGGCTGACAACCGCCTCACCTTCTCAGACTGTCGGTCTGCGTGTGGCTCGGCCCCTCCGCGGCACCTGCAAAAAACTCAAGGAAAAGACACGTGCCGAGTTACCGCCTGAAACTGGGGTCTGCCCGCACGGATCCCCAGCTCCCGCTCCCTTACCTCGGCCCTTCACCTGCCCTGCCGCTGCTGTTTCCAGTTGTCACGTCAAGGCTCGTGTGCCACCTGTAACACACGGACCACAAGGGATGCTTCTACTTTCACCGACAATTGGATGCCTAATATAAGAACTGCTACTTTAACCCCCCTAGTCGTGGCTCACCTCGCCCAAGCTGCCTCCGGTGTCGAAATCCTACTTTGCTTGTGGCTCTCCATCTAAAAAACAAAAACAACAAACTAAAAACACCTCAAAACACACCACACACCACTATCATCCCCTCCGATAGCACCGCTGCCATCTTCCCTGACGCACCGCTCAGTGACCCACCTTCTCACAGCCCTCCGCTCACCTCCTCCGTCACTCTTTGGTGCGCATCTCATCCATCTGCATGTCAAACAGTTACGCGAGTCACCCGGATGCTTAACAAATCCGGAGGTGTCACTTCCGGCTAGGGATACTAGCCGGCATCCAACTACAGCCTGTTGTTAAAAAGAAAACCACGCGCCTACCCGCAGAGAGTACGCTCCCACACCTACGAGCCTTAACACCTTTGAGATTCCATCTCATTTGCTACTGCTGGACAGCCGCTCCCACACCGCTCCAACAGTCTCCATAAAACGCCCTAGAAATGACCGGCCGCACAGCCTGCGGGTGGCTACTGCGAGGTGACCGTACGTCTGTTGCCTAGGCGGTCTAAGCGTATCAGCATTTAAACCGTTGACTTCTACTGCCGTTCTACTTGCTCCTGACTCTACACCCCCCAGGCAGGGCAGCTCTGAGCCAAACAGGCACACGCGTACACTAACGCTAAACGCTACAAAAGGTTTGATTCCAAGATAAACTCTAAGCGATAAGGACTCTCAGACAAGATACCATGTCAGGCGAGAACACCCAGAGGGCCACAACCGGGAGGCGAGGAGGCTATACGGCAGCCCCAGAAAGAGTCACGCGTTATGGCCCGTTATAAGAACCTACCGTCAAAACTGAGACGGTGGATGAGAAGTAGGAGTCCGAATCCTAGGATGGAGGGATGCAGGGGAGACGTCGCAGTCCGTGAAAATGGACGCCTAAGGAGCAGAGCTGATGCCGCAGCCGGCGACGACGCTGCGCAAAAGACTCCCGACTGGAAACTTCCAAGACCTACCCACGCTTTAAGCTGATAACGCAAGAATAAAAAAGCACCCGATCGGCAGCGTGCCGATGAAGATGGGCGCTCGATACCCTAGGGATGGCCCCTGAGACGCGTGCCGTGCTGCTCGAGCCCAAAGAGAAGTGAGGACATTTAGATCCGAGGAAGGGCAAAGACACAGCAGACAGAAGAAACAAACTACACGATGACACACGCAGAGGCGGGAACTGCCCTGCCCGGGACACGCTAACATCGAGGGGAAAAGTAATCCGTTCCCTTTACCTGACCTCAGGGCCCCGCTCCCGTACAGCCTTCTCCCCCGTGCTAACTTTCAAACACTTCCCTGCAATTCCCAACCTCGGCCCCTCCTCTCGGCCCCGTTCGCTCGACTCAGCTTTCAGAGGGCCGGAGGTCCGATTCCATCCTCGACAAAAGCAGCGCGGCAACTAACTAGCACGTTCCTGCAGTTGACGCCTTCCTCTTCACCTGCAAGAAAAAAAACAAACGGGAGAAAAGACAACCGGCTGTTCCCGGGGAGGCCACACCAAAAAATTTCTGCCTGCCTGTTTTGCCAATTGACGCGGTTAACACAAAGGACACATCACCAAGCTAAAGAAATAGGCTTATTTCACTTTGGTTTAAAGCAGCAGAAAGAATAAGCGAGGTAACGCATCTAGTCATTACCACATAAAGCTAGCTCTAGGGATTAAGAAAGACACATCACCAATTGCCTTCCTACTTTACCATCTTCCAGACCCGTGCATCAGCTGGGGAGCCCCGTCGCAGCGAAGGATCGGAGAGCCTTTCCCGGCAATTGGGAAGTCCCACGCAGTGAGTCCACTCGTAGGTAAGGTCTCCGTCTTTGCTGTGAGAGGGTCCGGCTTTTATACAGTTTAACAAGCAAGTCTATACAAAATGCACAGGAGATATCTGGGAGGTTGATATGCCTCACTCGGGCACGTCCAGATCTGGCCAGGATCCGGGCATGTCTGAGGAGTTACTCCTTTTCTGTACCTTTGGGATTTATAGTTACTTCCTGTCGTTTACTGATTGTTCCCAGGGATCGTTCCCAGGGGTGCATTTTCACGCTGATAAGACGCTGGTTGCCGGCCGGGGGATTCACTCACAAGTCAGCCTTGGTTTGAGGCGCATAGTTTGGCCCTTTTTTGTTTCACTGCCTTAAAAACACCAGCCTGAGACAGACCTGCGCCCAAACATAGGCGACAAAAGTTGCCTCGCAGACCGGCCGGAACCGGGGAGTAAAAACCCAGCCAGGGGACAGGAAAAGAAAAAATTTTTTGTCCCCCAGCCGTTTTGGGTTTTTTGCATTTTTGGTTTTGTGTGGGTTTTTTTTTTTTTTTAATTTCTATTTTGTCTGTCTACTGCCTCTAAACAAAGCTACACAACCTACAGCCCGTAAGGAAAAAACAAAACATCAACCATTCAGGCACTGCTCCACACATTTTAAACGCCACACAGCCAGCTACCAGTCAAACCACCACCTGCTCTCCCCTCGGCCACCCTACCACCAAAACCGCCACAAGCCATCACCCTCCGTGATCCTCAGAAACACCGGGTACGGGGGCCTCAAAAAATCATCCTCCCTGAAAAAACTCCAGCCTGAGCCTGACCTGCACCCAAATCCCGATAACGATCCTTGCATCGCACACCGGGCGGGACCAGGGAAAAACTACCCAGCCAGGAGACGGGAAAAACAGAAGTTTATTCCCCTGACAGAGGTTTTCATTAAATCCAGTCTACGTAGTCAAATTGAGCCCCGCCTACATCCTGCAAGAAAAGAGACGACAAATACTCTTACACAGCTAGACACGTTCTAAACATGCCGCTATTCCACCTACCGCCAAAACCAACCCCCACTCTCCACCGGCCCGTCCTTCCGCCCAACCGTCACGACGGGCAGTCACCCCCTGAATACTGTTCCTGGGGGACTCGAGCGCCTAGCCTGAGGAAATCCCGGCCCAAACCTGACCTTCACCCAGACGCTGACCGTGACCGTCACCCTCAGAGAGCATCTGCGACTGGGTGAAAATAAACCCCACCAGGGAGACAAAGACGTCACCCAGTTGGAGGATTTGTTTTCTTATTTAAAACAAACCCATACAGTATACCCGTGAACTCTATTCCACCTAGCCCTGACTCCACACCCCCGGGCAGAGCAGCTCCGAGCCACACAGACACACACAAAATACTACAAATGACGCGATTCAAAGAGGACTAGACGCTAAGCGATAAGGACACCCGGAAGGGTATGCCATAAGGCGAGAAGACTCGGAGGGCCACGATGGTGATGCAAGGAGGCTATATGGCAGCCTACAAGAAGCAGTAAGTGGAACGGCCCCTTACGAGAAGCTACCGTCAAAACGGAGACGATGGGTACGCAAGAAGATGGGCTTCAAGACCTAAGAACGTCAGGATACGGGAAAGAAGTCACCGGCAGGAACAACGGATGCCAAAATTGCAGAGCTGACGCCAGAGCCTGCGACGACGCTGCGCAAAAGACTCCCGACCGGAAACTTCCAAGACCTACCCACGCTTCAAGCTTATAACGCAAGAATAAAAAGCACCCGATCGGCAGCGTGCCCATGAAGATGGGCGTTCGATACCCTAGGGATGGCGCCCCAGTCACGTGCCGTGCTCCTCGAGCACAAAAGACACGCGAGGACATTTACAGCCGAGGAAGGGCAAAGACACCGTAGACAGAAGAAACAAAACTACACGTTGACACACGCAGAGGCGGGAACTGCCCTGCCCGGGACACGCTAACATCGAGGGGAAAAGTAATCCGTTCCCTTTACCTGACCTCAGGGCCCCGCTCCCGTACAGCCTTCTCCCCCGTGCTAACTTTCAAACACTTCCCTGCAATTCCCAACCTCGGCCCCTCCTCTCGGCCCCGTTCGCTCGACTTAGCTTTCACAGGGCCGGAGGTCCGATTCCATCCTCGACAAAAGCAGCACAGCAGCTAACTAGCACGTTCCCGCAGTTGACGCCTTCCTCTTCACCTGCAAGAAAACACGAACGGGAGAAAACACAACCGGCCGTCGGCATCGCGCTGCTGCGTGCCTACCTCTTCCACGACACCCGCCTGTACTCAGAAGCGTCGCGGGGTTCCGCTCACCGGCTCTTTGCAGAGTCAATGCTGCAGGCGTCGTCGCTGGCGTTACCTAAGATGCCGAGAGACAAAGTTTCCCTTGCGCTTCTAACGAGTCACCCACGATCCTCCTTGCGACTACCCCGGCTCGCTTCAAACGCTCATCCAATCCCAAAGGTGGCTCCCAAAGCACCTGCAAAAACAAGGCGATGCGCTCAACGGAGCGGTCCTACGATACTTCCGTATTAGACACCGACCTGGCTGACAACTGCCTCACCTTCTCACACTGTCGGTCTGCGTGTGGCTCGGCCCCTCCGCAGCACCTGCAAAAAACTCAAGGAAAAGACACGTGCCGAGTTACCGCCTGAAACTGGGGTCTGCCCGCACGGATCCCCAGCTCCCGCTCCCTTACCTCGGCCCTTCACCTGCCCTGCCGCTGCTGTTTCCAGTTGTCACGTCAAGGCTCGTGTGCCACCTGTAACACACGGACCACAAGGGATGCTTCTACTTTCACCGACAATTGGATGCCTAATATAAGAACTGCTACTTTAACCCCCCTAGTCGTGGCTCACCTCGCCCAAGCTGCCTCCGGTGCCGAAATCCTACTTTGCTTGTGGCTCTCCATCTAAAAAACAAAAACAACAAACAAAAAACACCACAAAACACACCACACACCGCTATCACCCCCTCAGATAGCACAGGTGCCATCTTCCCTGCCGCACCGCTCAGTGACCCACCTTCTCACAGCCCTCCGCTCACCTCCCCCGTCACTCTTTGGTGCGCATCTCATCCATCTGCATGTCAAAACAGTTACGCGAGTCACCCGGATGCTTAACAAATCCGGAGGTGTCACTTCCAGCTAGGGATACTAGCCGGCATCCAACTACAGCCTGTTGTTAAAAAGAAAACCACGCGCCTACCCGCAGAGAGTACGCTCCCACACCTACGAGCCTTAACACCTTTGAGATTCCATCTCATTTGCTACTGCTGGACAGCCGCTCCCACACCGCTCCAACAGTCTCCATAAAACGCCCTAGAAATGACCGGCCGCACAGCCTGCGGGTGGCTACTGCGAGGTGACCGTACGTCTGTTGCCTAGGCGGTCTAAGCGTATCAGCATTTAAACCGCTGACTTCTACTGCCGTTCTACTTGCTCCTGACTCTACACCCCCCAGGCAGGGCAGCTCTGAGCCAAACAGGCACACGCATACACTAACGCTAAACGCTACAAAAGGTTTGATTCCAAGATAAACTCTAAGCGATAAGGACTCTCAGACAAGATACCATGTCAGGCGAGAACACCCAGAGGGCCACAACCGGGAGGCGAGGAGGCTATACGGCAGCCCCAGAAAGAGTCACCCGTTATGGCCCGTTATAAGAAGCTACCGTCAAAACCGAGACGGTGGATGAGAAGTAGGAGTCCGAATCCTAGGATGGAGGGATGCAGGGGAGACGTCGCAGTCCGTGAAAATGGACGCCTAAGGAGCAGAGCTGATGCCGCAGCCGGCGACGACGCTGCGCAAAAGACTCCCGACTGGAAACTTCCAAGACCTACCCACGCTTTAAGCTGATAACGCAAGAATAAAAAAGCACCCGATCGGCAGCGTGCCGATGAAGATGGGCGTTCGATACCCTAGGGATGGCCCCTGAGACGCGTGCCGTGCTGCTCGAGCCCAAAGAGAAGTGAGGACATTTAGATCCGAGGAAGGGCAAAGACACGGCAGACAGAAGAAACAAACTACACGATGACACACGCAGAGGCGGGAACTGCCCTGCCTGGGACACGCTAACATCGAGGGGAAAAGTAATCCGTTCCCTTTACCTGACCGGAGGGCCCCGCTCCCGTACAGCCTTCTCCCCCGTGCTAACTGTCAAACACTTCCCTGCAATTCCCAACCTCGGCCCCTCCTCTCGGCCCCGTTCGCTCGACTCAGCTTTCAGAGGGCCGGAGGTCCGATTCCATCCTCAACAAAAGCAGCGCGGCAACTAACTAGCACGTTCCTGCAGTTGACGCCTTCTTCTTCACCTGCAAGAAAAAAACAAACGGGAGAAAAGACAACCGGCTGTTCCCGGGGAGGCCACACCAAAAAATTTCTGCCTGCCTGTTTTGCCAATTGACGCGGTTAACACAAAGGACACATCACCAAGCTAAAGAAATAGGCTTATTTCACTTTGGTTTAAAGCAGCAGAAAGAATAAGCGAGGTAACGCATCTAGTCATTACCACATAAAGCTAGCTCTAGGGATTAAGAAAGACACATCACCAATTGCCTTCCTACTTTACCATCATCCAGACCCGTGCATCAGCTGGGGAGCCCCGTCGCAGCGAAGGATCGGAGAGCCTTTCCCGGCAATTGGGAAGTCCCACGCAGTGCGTCCACTCGTAGGTAAGGTCTCCGTCTTTGCTGCGAGAGGGTCCGGCTTTTATACAGTTTAACAAGCAAGTCTATACAAAATGCACAGGAGATATCTGGGAGGTTGATATGCCTCACTCGGGCATGTCCAGATCTGGCCAGGATCCGGGCATGTCTGAGGAGTTACTCTTTTTCTGTACATTTGGGATTTATAGTTACTTCCTGTCGTCTACTGATTGTTCCAGGGATCGTTCCCAGGGGTGCATTTTCACGCTGATAAGATGCTGGTTGCTTCATGCTGCTGATAAGATGCTGGTTGCTGTCGGGGGATTCACTCACAAGTCAACCTTGGTTTGAGGGCAGATTGTTTGGCTCTTTTTTGTTTCACTGCCTTAAAAACACCAGCCTGAGACAGACCTGCGCCCAAAACATAGGCGACAACAGTCACCTCGCAGACCGGCCTGGGACCGGGGAGTAAAAACCCAGCCAGGGGACAGGAAAAGAAAAAATTTTTGTCCCCTGAGCTCTTTTGGGATTTTTTGGATTTTTGGTTTTGTGTGGTTTGGTTTGTATTGTTTTGGTTTTGTTTTTTTTAATTTCTATTTTGTCTGTCTACTGCCTCTAAACAAAGCTACACAACCTACAGCCCATAAGGAAAAAACAAAACATCAACCATTCAGGCACTGCTACACACATTTTAAACGCCACACAGCCAGCTACCACTCAAACCACCACGTGTTCTCCCCTTGGCCACCCTACCACCAAAACCGACACAAGCCATCACCCTCCGTGATCCTCATAAACACCAGGTACTGGGGCCCTCAAAAAATCATCCTGCCTGAAAAAAACTCCAGCCTGAGCCTGACCTGCACCCAAATCCAGATAACGATCCTTGCATCGCACACCGGGCGGGACCAGGGAAAAACTACCCAGCCAGGAGACGGGAAAAACAGAAGTTTATTCCCCTGACAGAGGTTTTCATTAAATCCAGTCCTACGTAGTCAAATTGAGCCCCGCCTACAGTCCTGGAAGAAAAGAGACGACAAATACTCATACACAGCTAGACACATTCTAAACATACGCTATTCCACCTACCGCCAAAACCAACCCCCACTCTCCACCGGCCCATCCTTCCGCCCAACCGTCACGACAGGCGGTCACCCCCTGAATACTGTTCCTGGGGGACTCGAGCGCCTAGCCTGAGGAAATCCCGGCCCAAACCTGACCTTCACCCAGACGCCGACTGTGACCGTCACCCTCAGAGAGCATCTGCGACTGGGTGAAAATAAACCCCACCGGGGAGACAAAGACGTCACCCAGTTGGAGGATTCGTTTTCTTATTTAAAACAAACCCATACGGTATACCCGTGAACTCTATTCCACCTATCCCCGACTCTACACCCCCCAGGCAGAGCAGCTCCGAGCCACACAGACACACACAAAATACTACAAATGACACGATTCAAAGAGGACTAAACGCTAAGCGATAAGGACACCCAGAAGGGTATGCCGTAAGGCGAGAAGACTCGGAGGGCCACGATGGTGATGCGAGGAGGCTATATGGCAGCCTACAAGAAGCAGTAAGTGGAACGGCCCCTTACGAGAAGCTACCGTCAAAACCGAGACGATGGGTATGCAAGAAGATGGGCTTCAAGACCTAAGAATGTCAGGATACGGGAAAGAAGTCACCGGCAGGAACAACGGATGCCTAAATAGCAGAGCTGACGCCAGAGCCTGCGACGACGCTGCGCAAAAGACTCCCGACTGGAAACTTCCAAGACCTACCCACGCTCTAAGCTTATAACGCAAGAATAAAAAAGCACCCGATCAGCAGCGTGCCGACGAAGACGGGCGTTCAATACCCTAGGGATGGCGCCTAAGGCACGTGCCGTGCTCCTCGAGCCCAAAGAGATGTGAGGACATTTAGAGACGAGGACGGGCAAAGACACGGCAGACAGAAGAAACAAAACTACACGTTGACACACGCAGAGGCTGGAACTGCCCTGCCCGGGACACGCTAACATCGAGGGGAAAAGTAATCCGTTCCCTTTACCTGACCGGAGGGCCCCGCTCCTGTACAGCCTTCTCCCCATGCTAACTTTCAAACACTTCCCTGAAATTCCCAACCTCGGCCCCTCCTCTCGGCCCCGTTCGCTCGACTTAGCTTTCAGAGGGCCGGAGGTCCGATTCCATCCTCGACAAAAGCAGCGCGGCAGCTAACTAGCACGTTCCTGCAGTTGCCGCCTTCCTCTTCACCTGCAAGGAAAAACGAAACGGGAGAAAACACAACCGGCCGTTGGCATCGCGCTGCTCTGTGCCTACCTCCTCCACGACACCCCCCTGTAATCAGAAGCGTCGCGGGGTTCCGCTCACCGGCTCTTTGCAGAGTCAGATGCTGCAGCCGTCGTCGCCGGCGTTACCCAAGATACCGAGAGACAAAGTTACCCTTGCGCTTCTAACGAGTCACCCACGATCCTCCTTGCGACTACCCCGGCTCGCTTCAAACGCTCATCCGATCCCAAAGGCGGCTCCCAAAGCACCTGCAGAAACAAGGCGAGCGCTTAACGGAGCGGTCACACGATACTTCCGTATTAGACACCGACCTGGCTGACAACTGCCTCACCTTCTCACACTGTCGGTCTGCGTGCGGCTCGGCCCCTCCGCGGCCATCCGCGGCACCTGCAAAAAACTCGAGGAAAAGACACGTGCCGAGTTACCGCCTGAAACTGGGGTCTGCCCGCACGGATTCCCATCTCCTGCTCCCTTACCTCGGCCCTTCACCTGCCCTGCCGCTGCTGTTTCCAGTTGTCACGTCAAGGCTCGCGTGCCACCTGTAACACACGTACCGCAAGGGACGCTTCTACTTTCACCGACAATTTGATGCCTAAAATAATAACTGCTACTTTAACCCCCCTAGTCGTGGCTCACCTCGCCCAAGCTGCCTCCGGTGCCAAAATCCTACTTTGCTTGTGGCTCTCCATCTAAAAAACAACAAACAAAAAACACCACAAAACACACCACACACCGCTATCATCCCCTCCGATAGCACTGCTGCCATCTTCCCTCCCGCACCGCTCAGTGACCCACCTTCTCACAGCCCTCCGCTCACCTCCTCCGTCACTCTTTGGTGCGCATCTCCTCGATCTGCATCTGAAAACAGTTATGCGAGTCACCCAGATGCTTAACAAATCCGGAGGTGTCACTTCCGGCTAGGGATACTAGCTGGCATCCAACTACAGCCTGTTGTTAAAAAGAAAACCACGCGCCTCCCCCCAAAGCGTACGCTCCCACGCCTACGAGCCTTAACACCTTTGAGATTCCATCTCATTTGCTACTGCTGGACAGCCGCTCCCACACCGCTCCAACAGTCTCCTTAAAACGCTCCAGAAACGACCGTCCGCACAGCCTCTGGATGGCTACTGCGAGGTGACCGTACATCTGTCGCCTAGGCGGTCTAAGCGTATCAACATTTAAACCGTTGACTTCTACTGCTGTTCTACTTACTCCTGACTCTACAACCCCAGGCAGGGCAGCTCTGAGCCAAACAGGCACACGCGTACACTAACGCTAAACGCTACGAAAGGTTTGATTCCAAGATAAACTCTAAGCAATAAGGACTCTCAGACAAGATACCATGTCAGGCGAGAAGACCTAGAGGGCCACAACTGGGAGGCGAGGAGGCTATACGGCAGCCCCAGAAAGAGTCACACGTTATGGCCCGTTATAAGAAGCTACCGTCAAAACCGAGACGCTGGATGAGAAGTACGAGTCCGAATCCTAGGATGGAGGGATGCAGGGAAGACGTCACAGTCCGTGAAAATGGATGCCTAAGGAGCAGAGCTGATGCCGCAGCCGGCGACGATGCTGCGCGAAAGACTCCCGACTGGAAACTTCCAAGAACTACCCACCCTCTAAGCTTATAACGCAAGAATAAAAAAGCACCCAATCGGCAGCGTGCCGATGAAGACGGGCGTTCGATACCCTGGGGATGGCGCCTGAGGCGCGTGCCGTCCTCCTCGAGCACAAAGAGATGTGAGGACATTTAGAGCCGAGGAAGGGCAAAGACACGGCAGACAGAAGAAACAAACTACACGATGACACACGCAGAGGCGGGAACTGCCCTGCCCGGGACACGCTAACATCGAGGGGAAAAGTAATCCGTTCCCTTTACCTGACCGGAGGGCCCCGCTCCTGTACAGCCTTCTCCCCATGCTAACTTTCAAACACTTCCCTGAAATTCCCAACCTCGGCCCCTCCTCTCGGCCCCGTTCGCTCGACTTAGCTTTCAGAGGGCCGGAGGTCCATCTCAACAAAAAATTCCATCCTCGACAAAAGCAGCACAGCAGCTTCACCTGCAAGAAAAAACAAACGGGAGGAAACACGACCGGCTGGTCCCGGGGAGGCCACACCAAAAAATTTCTGCCTGCCTGTTTTGCCAATCGACGGGGTTAACACAAAGGACACAGACACCAAGCTAAAGAAATAGGCTTATTTTACTTTCGTTTAAAGCAGCAGAAAGAATAAGCGAGGTAACGCACCTAGCCATTGCTACATAAAGCTAGCTCTAGTCATTAAGAAAGATACATCACCAACTGCCTTCCTACTTTACCATCATCCAGATCCGTGCATCAGCTGGGGAGCCCCGTCACAGCGAAGGGTCGGAGAGCCTTTCCCGGCAATTGGGAAGTCCCACGCAGTGCGTCCACTCGTAGGTAAGGTCTCCGTCTTTGCTGTGAGAGGGTCCGGCTTTTATACAGTTTAACAAACAAGTCTATACAAAATGCACAGGAGATATCTGGGAGGTTGATATGCCTCACTCGGGCATGTCCAGATCTGGCCAGGATCCGGGCACGTCTGAGGAGTTACTCCTTTTCTGTACCTTTGGGATTTATAGTTACTTCCTGTCGTTTACTGATTGTTTCCAGGGATCGTTCCCAGGGTTGCATTTTCACGCTGCTAAGATGCTGGTTGCTGGTCGGGGGATTCACTCAGAAGTCAACCTTGGTTTGAGGCCGATTGTTTGGCTCTTTTTTGTTTCACTGCCTTAAAAACGCCAGCCTGAGACAGACCTGCGCCCAAACACAGGCGACAACAGTCGCCTCGCAGACCGGCCGGGACCGGGGAGTAAAAACCCAGCCAGGGGACAGGAAAAGAAAAAATTTTTTGTCCCCCAGCTGTTTTGGGATTTTTGGATTTTTGGTTTTGTGTGGTTTTGGGGGTTTTTTTTGGTTTTTTTTTTTTTTTTAATTTCTATTTTGTCTGTCTACTGCCTCTAAACAATGCTACACAACCTACAGCCCGTAAGGAAAAAACAAAACATCAACCATTCAGGCACTGCTACACACATTTTAAACGCCACACAGCCAGCTACCACTCCAACCACCATGTGTTCTCCCCTTGGCCACCCTACCACCAAAACCGACACAAGCCATCACCCTCCGTGATCCTCATAAACACCAGGTATGGGGGCCTCAAAAAATCATCCTGCCTGAAAAAACTCCAGCCTGAGCCTGACCTGCACCCAAATCTAGATAACGATCCTTGCATCGCACACCGGGCGGGACCAGGGAAAAACTACCCAGCCAGGAGACGGGAAAAACAGAAGTTTATTCCCCTGACAGAGGTTTTCATTAAATCCAGTCCACGTAGTCAAATTGAGCCCCGCCTACGTCCTGGAAGAAAAGAGACGACAAATACTCATACACGGCTAGACACATTCTAAACATACCGCTATTCCACCTACCGCCAAAACCAACCCCCACTCTCCACCGGCCCATCCTTCCGCCCAACCGTCACGACAGGCGGTCACCCCCTGAATACTCTTCCTGGGGGACTCGAGCGCCTAGCCTGAGGAAATCCCGGCCCAAACCTGACCTTCACCCAGACGCTGACCGCGACCGTCACCCTCAGAGAGCATCTGCGACTGGGTGAAAATAAACCCCACCGGGGAGACAAAGACGTCACCCAGTTGGAGGATTCGTTTTCTTATTTAAAACAAACCCATACGGTATACCCGTGAACTCTATTCCACCTATCCCCGACTCTACACCCCCCAGGCAGAGCAGCTCCGAGCCACACAGACACACACAAAATACTACAAATGACACGATTCAAAGATGACTAAACGCTAAGCGATAAGGACACCCAGAAGGGTATGCCGTAAGGCGAGAAGACTCGGAGGGCCACGATGGTGATGCGAGGAGGCTATATGGCAGCCTACAAGAAGCAGTAAGTGGAACGGCCCCTTACGAGAAGCTACCGTCAAAACCGAGACGATGGGTATGCAAGAAGATGGGCTTCAAGACCTAAGAATGTCAGGATACGGGAAAGAAGTCACCGGCAGGAACAACGGACGCCTAAATAGCAGAGCTGATGCCAGAGCCTGCGACGACGCTGCGCAAAAGACTTCCTGAATGGAAACTTCCAAGACCTACCCACGCTCTAAGCTTATAACGCAAGAATAAAAAGCACCCGATCGGCAGCGTGCCGATGAAGATGGGCGTTCGATACCCTAGGGATGACGCCTAAGGCGCGTGCCGTGCTCCTCGAGCACAAAGAGATGTGAGGACATTTAGAGCCGAGGAAGGGCAAAGACACGGCAGACAGAAGAAACAAACTACAAGATGACACACGCAGAGGCTGGAACTGCCCTGCCCGGGACATACTAACATCAAGGGGAAAAATAATCTGTTCCCTTTACCTGACTATAGGGCCTGCTCCTGTGCAGCCTTATCCCCTATGCTAACTTTCAAACACTTCCCTGCAATTCCCAACCCCGTCCCTTCCTCTCGGCCCCGTTCGCTCGACTTAGCTTTCAGAGGGAAGGAGGTCCGATTCCATCCTCGACAAAAGCAGCGCGGCAGCTAACTAGCATGTTCCTGCAGTGGCCCGATTCCTTTATCGCCTGCAAAAAAGCAAGAAGAGCACAACTGCTGGTCAGTATCACGCTGCTGCCCGCTTACCTCTTCGACCACCCACCCCCGTACTAAGAAGCATTGCAGTGTTCCGCTCACCTGCTCGTTTTGGAGTCAGATTCTGCAGCCGTTGTCGCTTGCGGTACCTAACTTACCGAGAGACAAAGTTACCGTTGCGCTTGTGAGAAGTCACCGACCCCGTGCTCGGCCTTGCTACTACCCGGCTGCTTTCGGATGCTCAGATGATCCCAAAGGTGAAACTATCTTATTAAATTATCTTGCCCTCTCAAACACAATAACTAATCTAAAGTGAAAAAAAAAAAAAAAAAAAAAAAAATAAAAAGCAAGCTACATATAAACATTCTATCTCCTACATATGATTCTGAACCTTGACCGGTCCAGAAAAATCTTACCTCAAATTACTCTGTTCCTCTAGAGATCAAAACACATCAGTCTCACAAGCTTAAATGGCTCAAAAGCTGCTACTGACTGAAGGACTGAGAGAGCATTGACACCTGAGAAACCCAGAAGTGGAATGAGCTCCCTGAAGAGCGGCGGGGGCTCATATTCCCTGGGCCCCGCCCACCGGCCCGCCCAGCAGCCTGCCCACAATCCCCTGGGAAAGGGGCAGGGCCTACCCCCCACAGGTATAAAGTCAGCCAGAGGAGCAGAGGGGAATTTTCTCCTTTGCCTGAAGTTTACAACATGCATAGCACTCTGTGGAGAAAGCGACTCTTACCAGAAATGACAATACCTGCTCTTTTACTGGGCCTGTTGTGTTGGCGATGTGACCCGGTAGGGAGTTCTGCTTAATTTTTCCAGGGTATACGTTGAAAAAGATGGGTATTTGATTAGGCTCTGTAACAAAAGAGTTGAATAAAGGCAATAGCGATACTCTTATCGACAACGATGTGCTTTAGTTTCCAAGAAAACAACCAAAATGCCATAGGGTTACGCTTCGTTTCTACCGAGACTGCGCACGCTACCTAGCTTCTACTGGAATTATGCTGTGGATGGAACTAAATGACAAAGTGGGGGTAAATCCTACGAGAATCCCTCCTCTGGGAAGTCTGGAAGGGATCTGAATGGACTACGCGTGCTCTCTGAGCACCGGGGATGGAACAGACGCATCCTAGCTACCGTAGAGGAAGACGTGAACTTTCTGCAGACAAACTATAGCGTCCGGAAAGGTCCTCTTGGCACGCAGAGGGCACAAAGCGCGCCGCCATTTTGCCGATCGATGGGGTTAATGCAAAGGGCGCAAAAGCTGAGCTAAAGAGATAGGTTTATTTTGCTGGCTGTCTTGAGATAATAAGCGATAGGTAAGAAACGAGGTGCTTAAAAAAGAAGGCGATGTGTCCAGTCCTTACTATACCAGATGAGTCATAGCAATTAAGAAAGATACATCGCCGATCGTCCTGGTGCTTAACCATCACCTGGATCCGTGCTTCAGCTGGGGAGCCCTGTCACGACGAAGGATCGGAGAGGCTTTCCCGGCAACTGACGAGTCCTACACGGTGCGTCCGCTCGTGGACGAGGTCTCCGTCTTTGCTGAGTGAGGGTTCCGGTTTTAGATGGGTTAACAAACAAATCTGTAAATCTGTAGAACTGACAAAATGCACGCAAGACATCAGGTGGATTGAGCCGCCTCGTCATCCTCCTTTGGGATTCTTTCCCAAGCCTGGCCGATGCTCGAGGACGAACTGAGGGAGTTTGCGTATTCGACCTCGATAATGGGCTTCTAAACTAGGAAATGTCAACATAAGAGGAACCGAGGGAGTTTGCTTAATCAACCTCAATAATTGGCTCCTAAACTAGGAAATGTTGGTATATTCATGTATTGTTTTATCTAAGCTACTTATCTCGATAATCAGATGTTCTATCCAAGCTACGTATTTCAGTAATGATTGGATACGGTCAGTATATAACACGTTTGGTCGTGAGATTCGTCTAGAGGCTGACTTTGGCTCGAGACCTGTCGTTCAGGCCTCGGTACTTTGACAGCAGAGCTGATAAAGGGCGGCGGAGCACGAGGATGGCCTCGGGAGGCACGCTGACATCAGGAGAAGAGCCAAACATAAAAGACGGCTCTCGCACGGGATGCTTAACTAGGGAAGGCATCCCCGCAACGTACGGAGGTTCTCGGGGGACGACCGACCAAACGGATGCATCCGAAATGGCGGTGATTAAGTAAGATGGCTCTGGGGTGTGGACAAAGCCCGAGGAAGGGATCTGTCTGCGTAAGAGATGTACGCGGAGAGCCGTGGAGCTCAAACGGTGCTGTCAGACACGAGGATTGTCTCGAGAGACGTCGTGACGAGAATGAGAGGGCTCCGGGGAGCGGAGGGAACGTGGGTGTGGAGACAAACAAAGGACAAAAAAATAATTTAAAAAAAAAAAAACGCAAACAGAATACAGGTAGCCAGGGTACATTAAAAGCGATGGTTAATAAAGAAATAATGAAATAAATCAGATATATTGATGGCAAATTACAGCGGAGATGTAGAAATAAAATTTTAGAGGTCAGCAACGAGGAAAATTGAGACAAAATAATTTAAAAACAAATGCGGTGACCGAGATACAAGCCAATTGTAAAAGCCCAGGGATGAAGAGACAAAAGAATTTAAAAATACCGATGGCAAACCGAAACACCGCTGTTGCAAAATGGCCAAGCAAAAAAAATTGCTTAGCGTAGCGTAAAAACTTAAGCGATCGGTCAAACGCCTATGACGTGTGATCTGTCACACGGAGATCCTTCGGCTAGGTGAGCGTGATAAACACCTCCCCAGAAATGCATATGTGGGGAGGCTCCGTGTCTCATTGAGAGACTCCTAATCGGAAGCCCTCGTCCTTCAACGTCAAGGCCCTCTGAAAAACAACAAACTAGCTGAAGGCAGGCGGGATGTAAGAAAGCGCAGACGTAAACCGAAGAAAGGCCCATTCTAAAACCTAGACGAAGTTCGAGAAAGGATCCTCTCCAGAAACTGCTACAGACCGCCGAGGACCTCCGTGGAAGCCCCTCAGCGACCTAAATCGCAGAGGTAATAGTTATATAACGACGATAATGAGTTAATGAATAGGCACATAACGGGATGATATGAGTTTTGGCTATGGTAATGTACGACAGGCGAGTTAGGCGGAACGATTCCCTCGCGTACCCAGCCAGATAAAGCAATCCCCATGCGTTAACGCTAAACCTGGCGTTAAGGAGGTTTCGTTGCCGATTTCAGTAGAGAATTTCGGCGACCCGGATGGGATGCTGCCTCGGAAACTTGACAAACCCACGGGATTGTGAAGACTCTGGCGTTGCCTAAGTGTTTTTCGGGGAGATCCTCCGAACCCCTGATCTGGTGAGTTTGGAGTAAGAGCCCTGGTGGGTTTTTTTTTTTGTTGTTTTGGTTGGTTGGTTTGTTTGTTTGTGGTTTTTTTCAGGCATTACCAAAGGTAACACAGACTGGAAAAGGCTGTCCGTAAGACTGGACGCAAGAAATTCCCATGGGACTCTGCTATTAAGGGAAACCCGGGAAGAAAGGCGAGATTACACGTTATTACGGTGACGTGCCCGGAGTGTCGCCTGGGGTCAGAAGAAAGCCTCGATCGCACATAAGGTGCAGGCTAGGGTATCGCGGGGCATTGGCCAATGTCCATGTCTAATTATTATCTTGTATAACAGCCTTGTTTAGTCTGTTAGGCGGTGTCATAGTTTTGTGTAAGTAATTGTTTATTTTGTTTAATGTGGGTTCCGACCTGTCTAAGGGGTCTGAGAGCGGTCTTTTCAAAAAGTCACCTCTGGAATGTATATTAAAATATTGGAGGGACGTGGGAAGCGAACCCCTTATCTGGGAAACAATTCATTGACTATTGTAATCGTTGGTGGCCACTGTACGTTTTAGAAGATCGAGAGAAGTGGCCAAAGCACGGACCTTACAGCTTAACATTATATACTGTCGATGTTGTTTTGTTGGAGGGAAGGGAAACAGGAGGATGTAGGTTGTCAGGGCCTGGCGGTCGGAAGATATCGCGCTGTACGGAAAGATAGGGCCCCTTTTTCTGATACCCCGATAGCCAATAGTAATGTAGCAGTGATGTAAGCAGACAGAAGTGACATTGTAAACCCAAGCTACATAAGGCCTGTATATTCCTCAATAAAACACCATTTGCCATCCACCACATTGGTGTCTGTGAGCTGATGGCCTGAGCGGCCTGGGGTCGGTCGCCATGCCTCTGAAAGGCAACAGGAGGAAGTGCCTTAGGTTGATTTGTCTTGTTGTGGCTAAATCATCCGGAATGGCAAAAGGATGATGTATGATTCCGAGCAACCCTACCGTTTTAACATAAGAGAAGGAATGGGGAAAGAACTTAAAGATGTGCTGTTCACCGCATAGATGTCTGAGCCCCCTACACACCAACCAGACCCCGTGCACCTTGCTGGCCTGCGACGCACACCAATGAGTTCCTCCATAGCACAACCACACCTCCTAGACTTTGCCTGGTGACCCCGCACCCCACCAGACTCCGTGCTCACTACTTGGCCCCCCTGGACCATCTCTGGGCCCCCAGATGGCCAACTACACCCCCTGAACCTCACAGAGAGCCCCTACGCCTCGCCTGGACCCCGTGCACCTCAACCAGCCCCCCTGCAGCCCAACAAGATGCCCGGCACACCAAACTTACCCTCTAAACACCGAGACCTCTGTAGTCCGCTTGGCCCTGGTGTGCTAACTGAGTGCCTCACACGCCAATCGTACCCCCTGACAGCAACCAGATGCACCCTGTCAGTGTCACCTGAACCCCAGCCAGCTCCCCTGCACGATGCCTGGACCTACTGAACCCTGTCTCAGCCCTCTGTACAACAATGAGATCCCCTGCACCCCAACCGGATCACCAGCAACTCGCCTGGCCCCCACGCACCTTGTCTGGACCCCCTGCAAAACAATCAGATGTCCTGCAGCCCAGCCAGATGACTTGCACATTCCCCGGACACCTGTGACACCAACAAGACCCCCTGCACATTGCCTGGGCCCTCGGCATTTCAACAAGATCAGCTATAACCTGGCTGGACCCTCTGCACACTCTCTGGGGCCCCTACACCCAAACCAGGCTCCTTGCACCTTGCTCGGACCCCCTGTACCCAGTCTTTGCAGCATGAATCCCAACCAGACCCACTGAATCCCAACCAGACCCCCTGCACCTTGCCTGGCTCCCCTGCAGACCAAGGAGACCTCGTGCACACCAGCAAGACCCCCTGCAACCTGTCTAGACCATCTGCACGCTGTCTGGGCCCCATGAACCCCAATGGGACCTCCTTCACCCCAACAAGACCCCATGAAGCCTCTGTGGGACCCCTGAACCCAGCCAGACTCCCTGCACATTGCTCAGACCCCTGCACTCCAACCAGATGCCCTGAACTCCAACCATATCCCCTGCAACCTGTCTGAAACCCCTGCACCCTAAAAAGACCCCCTGCACCTCGCCTGGACCTCCTGTAAACTCTCTGTGCCCCAGGAAACCCAAACAGACCCCCTGCACCACAACCAGACCCATTGAAACCTGCTCAGAACACCTGCACGTTGTCTTGACCCTCTGCACCCCAACCACACCCGCTGCAACTTGCCTGGCCCCCCTTCACACTGTCTGTACCCCATGAAGCCCAACTGGAACTCCTATACCCCAAGAATACCCCTCTGTACATGAACAAGACCCCTGAACCCCAACAATGCCCCCTGAACAGCAACCAGGACCCCTGCACGTTGTCTGAACCCCCACCACTGCAATGACACACCCTGCACACTGTCTGGGCCCTGTACATCGCAAACAGACCCCCTGCACCCTAAACAGAATCGCCTGGACCCCCTGAACCTTGACTGAACATCCTGCACCCCAACCAGAACCACGCAACGTGTCCGGGTCCCCTGCTTCCCAAAGAGGTCCCTGGAGCCCTGTCTGAACCCCCTACAAACCAACAGGACCCCCTGCACCCCGTCTGGTCCCTCTGAACCACAACCAGAATCCCTGCACCTTGCCTGAATGCCTTGCACCCCAAACAGACACCCTGAACCCCAACCGGTACCTCCTGACCACTCTCTGAACCCCCCCGCACAACAAGATACCCTGCACCCTGTCTGAGCCCCCTCCATCACAAACCAACCCTCTGCATCCCAACCACACCCCCTGCACAACAAACACAAGTCCCTGGGACTTGCCTGGATCGCCTGAGCACTGTCTGAACCCACTGCACCCCAACCAGAACCCCCTGCAACGAGTCTGAGTCCCCTGCTTCCCAAACCACTCCCTGCACAACAAACAGAACACCCTGAACACTGTCGGAAGCCCCTGCACCCCAGCGAGACCCCTGAACCCTGTCTGTGCCCTCTACATCCCAACCATACCCACTGCAACTCAAACAGAACACCCTGGAACTTGCCTGGAACCCCTGAACGCCGATCAGACCGCCTGCACCTTGCTTGGACCCCCCTGAACACTCTCTGAACCACCTGCATCCCAACAAGACTCCCTGCACCCTGTCTAGAACCCCCCTGCACCACAAACAGCAGCCCTTGCATAGTTCCTGAACGCTCTGAACCCTGTCTGAACCCCCTGCATCCAAACGACAACCCTTGTGACGTGTCTGGGTCCTCTGCTTCCCAAACAGAACCCGTGCACCCCAACCCGACCCCCTGCACAACAAACAGAACTCCATGCAACTTGCCTTGAACACTGTACACCCCAACAAGACACCCTACACCCTCTCTGGGATCCCTGCACTCCAAACAGAAAACCCTGCACCTTGCCTAGACCCTCTGAACCCTCTCTGGGCCTCCTGAATCCAAATGAGACCGTCCGCACCTTGCCTGGAAGCCCTGTGACACAAAGCAAAGCAGATCCCACGCACCACAACCAGAACCCCCTGCATATTGCCTGAACGCCATGAAGGCTGAAACCCCTGCACCCCAACAAGAACTCTTGCGCCATGTCTGGGGCCCCTGCAACCCAAACAGATCCCCTGCATGCAAAACAGAAACCTCTCAGACTTGCCTGGACACCCTGAATGATATCTGAACCCCCTACACCCTAACAACACACCCTGCACAATGTCCGGGTTGCCTGAATCACAAACAGACACCCTGCACCCCAACCAGAACGCGCTGCACTTTGCCTGGATGCCCTGAACCCTGTCTGAGACTCCCTGAACCACAACAAGAACTCCTGAACCCTGTCTGGGTCCCCTGCATCCAAACCAGACCGCCTGCACCCCAATCAGAACAACCTGCACCTTGCCTGGACCCCTGGAACCCCGATCAGATCTTCTGCACGTTGCCTGGAGCCTCTGCAACCCAAACAGACCCCCTTTACCCCAACCAGAACCACCCGCACCTTACGTGGAACCCTAAACGCTGTCTAAAGCCCCTGCACCCCAACCAGAACACCCTGCACCTTGCCTGGATGACCTGCACCCCGACAAGAACCCCCTGCACCCCAACAAGTCACTCTGCACAGTTTCTGGGCCCTCTGTATCACAGATAGAGCCCCTACACCCCAAACAGAATCCCCTACGCTTTCCCCAGATGTCTGAACCCTGTCTGGGCCCCCTGAACTCCAATCAGACACACTGCACGTTGCCTGGATGCCCTGCACCCCAACCAGAACCCCCTGCAACTTACCTGAACCCCCGAATCCTGTTGGAACCCCCTCCACACCATCAAGATCCCCAGCAGCACGTCTGTGCCCCCTGCACCCCAAACGCATCCCACGCACCCCAACCAGAACCCCCTGAACACTGTCTGAAGCCCCAGCACCCAAACAAGAACCCCTGCAACATGTCTGTGTCCCCTGATTCCCAAACAGAACCCCTGCACGGTGTCAGAACATCCTGAACATCTACGAGAACCCCTGCACCCTGTCTGGGCCCCCAGCACACCAAACACCGCCTGCAGCCCAACCAGAACCCGCTGCACCTTCCCTGGACTCCCTGAACCCTGTCTGAACCCACTGAACCACAACGAGAACCCCTGAACCGTGTCTGGACCCGCTGCTTCCCAAACAGACCCCCTGCACAAAAAAGAACACTCTGAACCCCATCTGAAGGCGCTGTACCCCAGCAAGAACACCCGAACGATGTCTGGGTTCCCTGCATCACAGACACCCTGCATCTCACCTGGACATCCTGAAGCCCAAATGGAACTCCTGCACCCCAACCAGAACCCCCTGCACATTGCCTGGACCCCTTGAACCCTCTCTGAAGACACTGCATCCCAACCAGAACTGCTTGCACCTTGCCTGGACAACCTGAACCCCAACCAGAACCCCTGAAACGTGTATGGGACCCTCAGATCTTAAACAGACGCCCTGCACCCCAACCAGAAGTACCTCAACCCTCTCTGAACCCCTTGAACAACAACAAGACATCCCCTGCACCCTGTCTGGGCCCCCTGCATCCCAACCAGCCCCCCTGCATGTCATGGTATAGACGGACAGATGACAATATGGGTTGCAGATCAATGATGACGATGATTTTTATTATTTATTTATTTTATTGCCCTTTTTTTACACACCTTTTATAACCCTTAAGGCAAGCTAGTGCAGTTAGATCACAGCCTACTGGCAGTTGCTGAACTTAGTTACTATTGGCCTTTTCCCTATCAACCTCCTGTAACTAAAGCCTATGCCCTAAAAATCTACAGTTGTGATTTCATGTGCTACAGTTGCAGTTTCTCGTGGTTTCCCAGGGTTAGCCTAGCAAGCATTGTACAGTTAGCTTTTGTTCCTCAGTACAAGCTGGGCGTGTTGTACTACTAAGGATACATTTTTATCTGTTCAAGGGCGAGAACCCAGTCAGGATCCACCCTCCGGTCCCCTTCAGGGTCCCCCGCCCAACTGTCGACCCCCATACCTGCACACCACCCAGAACACCCTGAACCCTGTCTGAACCCTTTGCAAAATAACAAGACCCCCTGCAACCACACAGAAACCCGTACACCTTTCCTGGGCCCTCAGAACTCCAATCGGACACCCTGCACATTGCCTGGAGCCCTTGGACCCTCTCTTAGCCCCCTGCACCCCAACGAGAACCCCCTGCAGGTTGCCTGGACCCCCTGAACCCTGTCTGAACCCCCTACACCCCAAGCAGAACCCTTGCAACGTGTCTAGGTCACATGCTTCCCTGCACGCCAAACAGAACCCCCTGCAACTTGCCTAGACCCCCTGAGCCACAATCAGAATCCCTGCACCTTGCCTGGAGGCCCTGCAAACCAAACAGACCCCCTGCACCCCAACCAGAACCTCCCGAAACTTCCCTGGACCCCATGAACCCTGTCTGAACCACCTGCACCGTGTCTAGGCTCCCTGCATCCCAACCAGAACCATCCACCCCAACCCGAAATGGCTGCATCTTTCCTAGACCCCCCCTGAACCCTGTCTGAACATGTAGCACCCCAAGAAGACACCCTGAACCCTGTCTGAACCTCCTACACCCCAACAAGAACCCCTGCACCGTGTCTAGGTCACCTGCATCCCAGGCAGACCACATGCAACACAAACAGAACCACCTGAAACCTGTCTGAACTCCCTGCACCCCAACAAGACCCCCTGCATCATAACCAGAACCCCCTGAACCGTGTCTGAACACCTTGAACACCAAAAAGACCCCCTGCACCCTGTCTGGGCTCCTTGCATCCCAACCAGATCCCACTGACACTTGCCTGGACCCCCTGAAGCCTGTCTGAAGCCTCTGCGCTCTGTCTAGGTTCCCTGCATCCAAAACAGACGCCCCTGCACCCCAACCAGAACCCCCTGAAACTTGCCTAGACCCCCAGAAACCTGTTTGAACCCCCTGCACCCCAACAAGACTCCCTGCACCTTGTCTGGGCCCCCTGGGTCACAAACAGCACCCCTGCACCCCAAACAGAACCTCCTCCAACTTCCCAAGAACCCCTGAACACTGTCTGAACACCCTGCAACCCAACAAGGCCCCCTGCACCCTGCCTGAGACCCCTGCGTCCCAACCAGAACCCCTGAACCCTGTCTGAACCACGTGAACCCCAACAAGACCCCTTGCACCCTGTCTGGCACACTTGCACCACAACCAGAACCCCCTGCAACGTGTCTGTGTCCCCTGCTTCCCAAACAGACCCCCTGCACCACAAGCAGAACTCCCTGAAACAAGTCTGAACCTCCTCCACCCCCGCAATATCCCCTGCACCCTGTCTACAATCCCTGCAGCCCAAACGGAACGACCTGCACCTCGCCTGCACCCCTTGAACTCCGTCTCGGTGCCCTAAACCCCAATCAGACCCTCTGCATCTCACCTGGATGCCTTGCATGCCAAACAGAACCCCTGCACGCTGTCTGGGCCACCTGCACCTCACCTGGATGCTCTGAACCCTGTCTGAACCCCATGCAGAGCAAACAGATGCCCTGCAACTTGTCTGGGTCCCGCGTTTCCCAAACAGAGCTCCTGCACCTCAACCAGAACCCCCTGAAACCTCCCTGAGCCCCCTGCACCCCAGCAAGACACCCTGCACCCTGTCTGAGACCCCTGCATCCCAACCAGACCCCCTGTACCCCAAACAGTCCCTCTGTACCTTGACTAGATCCCATGCACCCTGTCTGGGCCCCCTGCACCCCAAGAAGGCCCCTGCAACCTGTCTGACCCCCATGCGCTCTGTCTGGGTGCCCTGAACCCCAAGAAAACCCCCTGCAACCTCTTTGGCCTCCCTGAACACCAACCGGACACCCTGAAAACTCTCTGGCATCCCTACAGGCTGTCCTGTGCCCCTTCACACTGTCTAGGTCCCCTGAACACCAAGCAGATGCCCTGAGCCCCAACCAGCCCTGATACACCTTGTCTGCCCCCCACACACACACCCCAACCAGACCCCCTGCACTTGACTAGACCCCATGTGCCCCGCTTCCCCTTTGTTCACCCCGTCTGTGCCCTCTGCACACCAAGCAGACCCCCTGCACCCCAAACACACCCCTGAAACCTGACTGGTCCCCCTGCACCTGTTTGGGTCTCCTGCACCCCAACAAGACCCCCTGCACCCCAAACAGGTGGTCTCTATACCTTGACTAGCCCCCATGGAACATCTCTGGCCCCCCCTGCACCCTGATTTGCAGCTGTGCATACTGTAAGGGCTCCCCAAACCCCACGTAGACCCCCTGTCCCCCAAAGACACCCCCTGCTCTTGACTAGCCCCCATATGCACCCTGCTTTCCCCCCCTGCACTCCAAGCAGACCCCCTGCACCTCAGCCAGACACTCAGCATCCTGTCTGGACCCCTCGCACACGACACACAACCCCTGCACCGCAACAAGATCCTACACACCCCAACCAGATGCCCTGCAACCTGCCTGCACCCTGCCTGAACCGTCTGCCCCCCCAAGAAGACCCCCTGCACCCTGTATGTGCCCCCTACACCCCGTCTTGGCTCCCTGTTCCCCAATCAGACCCGCTGTAACCTCTCTGGCTCCCTAGCACCCTGTCTCGGCCTCCTGAACCCCAACCAGACCCCCCGCACCCCAGAAAGAACCCCTGCACCCCAACTAGCCCTGCTACACCTTGCCTAGTCCCCCTGCAACCTAAACAGACCCCCTGCACCCTGTCTGAGCCCCATGCACCCAGGAAGACTTGCTTCGCACTGTGTGGTTCCCCTGCACATCAACCAGACTCCCTGCACCTTCAACCCCTAGTCAGCCCCAGTGGCCTCCACTCCCTCCCAGTGTCTCCCAGTGCCTCCCACAGAATTCAGCGTCTCCCTGTACCCTCCAGTCCCTCCCAGGGTCCCCCAGTGCCCGCTAGCATCTCCCAGTCCATCCGGTGTCCTCCTAGTCATGTCAGAGACCCCCTAGTATTCCCCCAGTGCCCTCCGGTCCCTCCCAGTATCTTCCAGTGCCCCCAACTGTGTCCCAGCCCGTCCAGTGTCCTCCCAGTCCTGCTCAGAGCCCCTAGGATCCTTACAGTACCCTTCAGTCCTCCCAGCATCCCCCCCACGGTCCTCTGCAGTGCGTCTCCCACTCTGTTCCGTGTCCCCTCAGACCATCCAGTGTCTCCCAGTACCCCCCAGTCCCTCTCAGTGTCCCTCCAGTGCACCTGCAGAGTCCCTCAGTGTCTCCCAGTGTCTCCCAGTACCCCCCAGTGCACCTGCAGAGTCCCTCAGTGTCTCCCAGTACCCCCCAGTCCCTCTCAGTGTCCCTCCAGTGCACCTGCAGAGTCCCTCAGTGTCTCCCAGTCCTGCCACAGACTCCCTGGTAACTCCCAGTGCCCTCAAGTCCCTCTCAGTGTCCCCCAGTGCCCATCCCAGCATTTCCCAGTCCATCCAGGGTCTGCCAAGTCCTGGCAGACACCCCCTAGTATCGCTCCAGTCCCCTCCAGTCCTCACCGTGTCTCCCAGTACGCCCCCAGTGTCCTCCAGGCCCCTCTGCAGCACATCCAGTGTCTCCCAGTTTGTGTCCAGGGTCTCCCATTATGTTCCGTGGCCCCGCAGACCTCCCAATGTCCCCCAGTGTCCTCCAGTCCTTCCCCATGTCCTCCTGTCCTCCCAGTGCCCTCTTGTTGAAAAACAGTGAAGGAAAAAACATTGTTCAGGGTAGTGTAAAAACTTAAGCAATTGGTCAAACGCCTGCAACACGTTGTCCGTCACGCAGAGGTCCCTGAGCTAGGCAAGCGTGATAAACACCTCCCGGGAAATGCAGACGTGGAGAGGCCCCATGAGGAAATCGGGAGACTCCTAATCGCGAGCCATTGTCCTTGAAGATTAAGGTCCTCTGAAAAAGAACAAACTAGCTGAAGCTAGGCAGGAGATAAGAAAGTGCAAACATAAACCAAAGAAAGACCAATTCCAAACCGTAGACAAGTATAAGAAAGGATGCTCTCCAAAGACCACCAGAGGTGGCTAGAGACCACCGACAACCCCCGCAGAAGTCCCTCGGAGACCTAAACTGCACACATAATAATTATGTGATTACAGTAATGACTTTTTGGAAATTGGATAAATAGACACGTAACGGAGCAATATAAGCTTTGGCTATCGTAACGTACAGCAAGCACGTTAGGCAGAACGATTCCCTCGCGTCCCCGGCCAAATAAAGCAATGCCCGCTCGTTAACGCTAAACGCGATTTCAGTGAGGGAGGGAGAGAGACAGGGAGATGCTGAGAACAGATACGAGTCGCCGGGTAGAGGGAGACCTTCCGATGCGATTTTCACAAGCGACAGGGAAGGCGGCAGCGTGGAAAGAATGAAATGCTTCAGGCGGCTGGGGAGCCAGCAAGGGAGCGGCGTGGAAAGGACGCGGAGAAGGCGACGGGGGACGGGGCGGTGTCGGCAGAACAGCAGAAAGCTGCGGGGACCCGGCCAGCCCGAAAGGCAGCCGGAGGCGGGAGCAGGCGGGCAGCTGGAGAAGCGCGGCCGGGACCGGCCCGGGGGGACGCGCGACCCGCCGCAGCTCCCGGTACCGGCCCCGGCCCGAGGCTTTCGCAGCCCCGGGGCTCGTCTCTCCGCCTCCGCCCCTTCCCACCTCCGCAGCGCCGGCTGCCCGACCCTCACCCACGCGGGGGCGGGCGGCACGCGCCTCCGAGCGCCTCCCCCGCGAGGCTTCCCGGCCACCCGGCGGCTCGGGGGCGCCGAGCTCCCGGCGCCGGTGCTGCGCCCCGTCGGGGCCGGCCGGGAGGAATCCTTCCTCGCCGCACGGACCGGCCGCTCCTGGCCGCGGGCAGACGCGGCTGAGACTCTCTTTCTTCCGCTCCTCGGCCAGCTCCCGCGGGCGGGCAGCCCCCCCGCCCCCGACTCCCAGCTGGAGCCCCTCGGCACGGCGGGGCCGGCCCCACCCGCAGCCTCACCGGCTGCACCTGGGGCTGCCCCAGTCCAGCCCCAGCTCCCCAGCTGCAGCCTATTTAAATTAAAACCTCACCGGTCCCACCTGAGCTGCCCCGGCCCCAGCCCACAGCCAGAGCCCGTGGGGAGCGGGGGGCCGTCGGTACCCGGCCTGCAATATGCCCAGCTGAACAGGCTCAGGAGCAATACCGTCTTTTATTCGGGCCTGGGGGCTCGGGGGATTTTCCTCGAATCGAGCACACCTAACAGCAGGTGCGGGTGCTTCTTTTATACACCTCACTCACAGGTTGGTGCTTTTCCAAACTACTCCTATTAGGCACCGATCGCTCAGCAGTTATAATACAGTTACGATACAAATTACACACCAACAAGACACCCTGCATGCTGTCTGGCCACCCTGCACCCCAAGCAGACCCTTTGCACCTTGTCTGGACCCCCTTTCACCTCAAACACCCCCCTGCAAACTCTCTGGCCACCCTACATGGCACCCCTGTACCCTGCCTGGTCCCCCTGCACCCCAAACAGACCCCCTGCAACCTACCTGGTTTTGTCCTAAAGGAAAAACAAGGAAAAATCATTTAAAAGAGAAAAATTTTAAGAGCACTGGGGACTAAGAAAATATGGAAAAAATGTAAAACAGCACCTAAATTAAAAAGGAAGAGCAATCTATTAAACCATCTTGCCACCCCTGAACACTCAAGCAGAAATTATTCTCCTGAAAAAAAAGACAACAAAAAAGTGACAAACGAGCCTACTTTCTACTCCACACCGTACTCAGCCTTGCCCAGTCCTGAAGCTCTTACCACAAACACTCTTGATCCTCTGAAGTTCAAAAGACCTCAGTCCAAAATGCTTAGGCAGTGCCAAAGCTGCCATCGAGGAAAGGAATAGGGGAACCCCAAGCCCAGAGAAGCCCAGAAGTGGAAGGAGCTCCCTGACTGGAAGCTGGGGCTCATCTAGCCTGGGCCCCACCCACTGCCCTTCCCACAATCCCGTAGGAAAGGGGCGGGGCCAACCACCAGCAGTTATCACATGAGCCAGAGGAGCAGTAGGTTTTTAACCATTGAGCAGGGGTGACATTTCACCCTTGACCCTGGCTGAGCACCGAATTCTGGCCCCGGGGCAACCTTCGACCTCTGACCCTGGGCGACCTTTGATCTCTGACCCCAGGTGACCCTTTATCTCTGCCTTCAAGTTGACCTTTTTGATCTATGACCCTGGGCAACTTTTGACCCTGTGTGACCTCTAACCTATGATACCAAGATGACCTTTGATGTATGACCCCGGGTCACCTTTGACCTTTAACCCTGTGTGACCTTTAACCTCTGGCCTCCACGTGACCCTTGATCTTAGACCATTTCACCTTCAACCTCTGACCCCAGATGATCTTTGCCCTACAGCCCACAGCTGATATTTGACCTCTGACCCTGGGTGACCTTTGACCAATAAGCCTGGGTGACATTTGATCGTAGACCCTGGGTGACCTGAGACCTATAACGCTTGACGACTGGTGACATAGGTATTACCTTTGACCTATGACCCCTTGTGAACTTTGACTCCTGGTTGACCTTTGAACTCTGACCCCGGGTGAACTTTGCCCCCGGGGTGGCTGTTGACCCAAAGTTGCCGTTTGTCCTCTGGCATTGAGTGACCTTTGACCCCTGCCAATCTTTGACCTATGACCCTTAGTGAATTTTGACCCCATATGACCCTTGACCTGGCATCCTGGTTGACCCTTGACCCCTGCTGGCCTTTGACCTATGACCCTGTGTGACCGTTGCTGCAAGGTTGACCTTTGTCCCTTGACCCTGGGTGGCCCCTGGTCCTGGGTGATCTTTGACCTATGACGTTGGGTGACCTGAGACCTTTGACCCCAAGCTGCCCCTTGGTGTCTGACACTGGGTGACCTTTGACATGTGAACATTTGTGACCTGTGATCCCGGATGACCTTTGACCCATGACCCTAGGTGACCTTTGACTTCTGACCCCAGCTTTATCTTTGTTCTTTGACCCCGGGGCAACATCTGACCTCTGACCGCAGTGTGACCGTTGGCCCATGACACTGGGTGACCTTTTACCCCTGACGTCGTTGCTACATTTGATCCCTGCCTCCACAATGACCTTTGATCTCTGACCTGGTGAGACCATTGGTGTCTCTCCCAAGTTGAACTTTGACACCTGACCATTTGTGACCTTTTACTTGTGACCCCATGGTGACTTTTGACCTCTGATCCCAAGATGACCTTTGACCTATGACTCCATTGCAACCGTTGACCCGTTTAACCTTTGACCTCTGGTTCCTCGGGGACATGTGACCTTTTACTTCTGACCCCAGATGACCTTTGACCTGTAACCCAGGGATGACCTTTCCTACAGATGCTTTGTTGCATTGCACATTTACTTAGCCAGTCAGCTCTCTGGAGAGAAGGCAGGGCTTCTTGATTGTTAATAACCATCACTTGGAGCCAGCTGTTGCCTTTCTTGGGAAAATTGTGATATGGTTGAAGGCTGAGCCTACCCTTAGAAACACAGCATGACTGATGAGGTGATCTGTGGAGTGTGTGCCATCTCCAGAGAGGATTCAGTGACAGTTACTTGGGTTGTACGAAGACAGCTGGTGACAACTGGTGAGTTTATCCTTTTATCATTGTGGCTGTCAATGCTGCTGTTCTTCCCTTAGTTCCATTTTCATGCATGTCAGTGCTGCAGCTGTGCAGACTAAGTGCAGAGGATGAATTCACTCACTTGTTATTTCAGCCTCTGACAGATCCAGATTCTGCTAATGGGTCTACCTGGCAGAGACAAGAAGAGAGTTTGCTTGGGTTTTTTAATTTTTTTTTTTTTTTTCTCCACAACCTTTTGTAATTTGATTGCTAAGAGGTAATTCTACAACTCAGTTTTCACTCCTGCTGAAGTTACAGTATTATGCGTAGCAGGGAAAGCTGCAAATGAATGAATGCACATTGCATTCGGCTCTCAGGAGTGGTTTTCCATCTGCATTGCAGCACAAAATTAGAAAGCAGTCCTTCCAGCATGCAACTCTGCCCTGCGTTTTCCTCAACTGAGTTATTAAATCCCTAAATTGTTAATTTTGTCATCTTCTCAACTGCTCTTCCCAGCCAATAAAATACATGTGAAAACGAGCTATCTGAAGGCTGTAAAAGTATAACTGTGCGTACTGGATGAAAGCTGAGCTGAGCTTCCTGGTCTCTTCACAGTTTTCTTGACAAACTCTTTGGCCTCATTAGCTCTCAGTTCTCTATGGGAGAAGGAGCCTGTAAAGGAGCCTCATGGAAACGTTAGCTGGCAAGGGCAGAGTAGCCTTCCCACCCCTCATCCTCATGTTTTTATTACCCCTTCTTTGGCACCCACAGTGGCATACTGAGCTGACTCATGGCTGAGAATGGTGGGAGAGAAGTTAAGTCTAAGGACTGGAGTCATAGGTGGTAACAGCAGTCTTTGTACTCCAGGCCTTTTTTTTTGAGGCCTTGGGTAAGCGAAGCCCCTTTTGCTCTCAGGGCAGTAAAACTCGCCTTCCTTCCAGCCTCTGCCTGCCTCTGTGTCATACTCAGGGGACAGGCTGTCACTGTACAGAGGCACATGACCCACCAGGGACCCCATTTTGATCAAGTCATGACTACCACAAATGGAAGACTGTGCTTGTAAAGTTACCCCAAACACTGAAGTGGAAGGGAGCACTACATTCTTGAGGACTGCTGAGTAGTTATAGGCGAGTCTTTTCTTCCTGAGCAACTTACTAATGTGGTTTGCAGAATTTTGGTAATGAGATGGGGAGGGAGACAGAATGCTGCTTCTGTTTTTCCTGCAGTCATACATCCTGGTCCTTTGCAGCCTGAAATGATGTAGCCCAGTCAGTCTTCATGTTAAGTGCCCTATGATTTTCACAGGTCTCTGCTGGTAAAGTATTTTAGTTGCATTAACCCATGTATCTCAGCCACTTAACTTCTTACAGGTGTTCTGATGAAGTGCAGACCTTTTACAAGTCAGCTCACCTGTGCCTTTCTCATCATCCCACCAACACTGACTCTGGTATCATCTCTTATTTCCAGTTTGCAGGTTCTGAAATATAAAACGCTCTTTCCATCTTGTTCTCTGCCAACTACTCTTGCCACCTGTCAGTTCTCACCTTGCACAATCCCCAAATGCTTTTGAGGACACAGACAGGCTTGTCTTTCTCTGTACTGCCTCAGGTATGATGGAATTCTGATTCTTTATTGAATTTTCTCACTGGATAAATTCCATAGCTTGTGTTATGTAGGAGATCAATCAAGAACAGGCATTCTCAGATGTTTCAGGTCATGAGCGAAGGTACTGTCTTGCAAATGGCCCACCACTGTTCCCTTTAAGTTTGGAATGGGAACGGTATGTTGTGATACTGTTTCATAGTCCTGCTGTGAATCACTTACCTGCACCCTTCTCACTGCTGGTAGGCTGCAGAGTGTGGTTGGGAATGTCAGTGAGATCGTCTAATTGTCCTGTCTGGTTTTAAAATCTAGTGGGTGAGACCTCTAGGCATTACTTTAACTTTCACAGTCGTGCCTGATACATTTAAGCAGCACAGAGGCTACTTCTAAGAGCCTTTAGAATGTCTTTTGTGTGGTAATAAATTAGCGAGAATGCAGTAAATAATGTGGAACAGGAATATTTACAGAGTATCTGTATTCCCCCAAAGCTCTGAAAGGCTGGTGAAGAGAGGAGTATCCCTGCTGCTCACTGAGATACAGCTCCGTGAGGCAGAATGCAGGTGTGAGGGGTTCTTCCAGAGAGTCCTTCAGAGTACCTAGATTTACTCCAAATGTAGCCATCTTAAATGCCTCTGTAGGTGCTGTGTGACTCTAATCCACAGGCCTTTGGCTCTCTCTTTATCTTACTCTGTTATTGAAGCTAGTCCTTCTGTGTTCAGGTTTCTCACCAGTTTTCTGGGTTTAAGTGTTTAGAAAGCATGTCATTCAGCTCAAGTCAGAACCCTGCAACTTGGAAAGTCATTCATGCTTGGTGTTGTTAGATTTGAATGACTTGACCAAGGTCACACGCAAAACCCACAGCAGAGTCAGAACAAGAATTGAAGCTACCAATTTATTCTGCAGCGTGTTCATCTTGAGACCTTCAGACATTCATTTCAACACTCCAGTGAGGTGCTATGCAGCTCTGAAGTGGGGGGGTTAAGAGACTGAGCCAATTTCCTGTTTACTAGAATCTCTTTTTTCAGGTATGTCCATTCAAAGTGAACCTTTCTAATCACTGCCCTTCTGATCTCAGTGTTTCTCAGTGATCGTTGTCAAATGCGTATGCAGCGATACTCTGGTTCAAAGTCACAGTGAGCATCTTGTTACAAAGCTCAATGCTTTGTAAAGATGCAGAATCATCATGCTGGTAATAGCATCATCTGTCCATTTCCTGCACTGCTCCCCACCCCCTTTTTGGCTGTTTGTTTATATGTTTGTATTTGGTGAAAATAATATCCCTTTGCCATAAAGAGTGTAATGTCCAAGCTGCGACTCGCATTACCGCTTTTTATTTGCTCCCGCTGTCACACAGCCTTTGCAGGTCATAATTCATGTGGGTGTCATCACAGAATAACCTTGCTGGCCCTGTGATTGTTGTTGGGTCCAGAAAGATGAGTTGCTGACCTTTCCCAAGCACTATTTCTGTTGACTGCTAAAAACCTTCAGAACAAAGTTGTGTGTTTCTTATTGGTGTGAGCCAGACAATTTTTCTGCCTGCAAGCTTTCTGAATCTTAGTGCATCTGCGAAGATAGCTCCAGGTATTGCAAAGGAGAGACTATTTTACTCTGCATATACTCTGAGGAAGGGTAAGCTTCAGGCTCTGACTACTGGTACTATGTACTACTGGTTAATCACATTCAGGTAACTTCTGGTTTGCTTGTAACAGAAGAGTGAACTCACCTCTGCTTGTAAGC